GGGGCTCGTCCAAAGCTGGGAACAGCCAGCTATCCCAAAGCCGGCAGCGCGATTTGAGCCAAAAAGGCTGCTCTCTCTCTCGCTCGCTCTCTCTCTCTCTCTCTCTCTCTCTCTCTACCGGGCATGGAGGGACGACGAACGTCGACCCCCCGCACGTGCGCGCACCCGCTGGTCCCGGCGGGGTTTTCAAGTGTCCGCAGGCGGGTTAACCCCGCAGCGGCTCGGCTGTACACAGAAGGACCCCCCCCCCCCGAGAAACACACCGAAAACACAGACTTAGGAACACCCGCGGGTCCCCCGTGCTTGTCAGCCTGGACTGCTCTGCTAACACGTCTCCGGAACCACTACACACGGCTACCAGCAGGCAAAAACCACAAGAGCAGTCTGAGGCCCCGGCCATGGCACACCCCTCTACGGCAGGAAACTAGGAGCAAGGGGCGGTCCATCCCGCCGCTCCTTTCTCTCTCTCTTTGCTTTGCTTTGCTTCGGGGTTGGGCCACGAGCAGTCCTCGTGACCCGCGCAGTCGCGCACCCCATCCACCATTTTGTTGGATGGGCTTGGCTGTACTATGGACCCGTGGTCCGAAGGTACGTCGGACTGTTATGCCCCCGTGGGGGCAGGTTTACAAACAGGCATGACGTCGGGTGCCTCGGGAAATGCAAAAAAATGCTTAAATTAACGGCCCCGCCAGCCTTCTGCTGGCCGCTGTGGCACGCCAAGGTGTTGGTCAAGGTAGCTAAATATTAAGGTCCCCGGGCACAAATTATGAGTTCCCCGCACAAGGCTGGTCCCTCTGTTTCTAGCTCTATTCGTGCAAGGATAGGTGTAAGAAGGTTGGCCTTTGGCCATCCTAGTGTACGGCTCTTGGAGAAGGGTGGTCCCCCTGGTTCCTGTGCACTGCTTGCAACAAAACTTCCGAGCCATCACTTGCCTCGTCGCTGCCCCTCACTTGTGCTCGTGCTCCTGGTAGTGCCCCTTGCCCTGTTGTCTTCTGGTTTGCCTGGTCCAACCAAACACCGGGGACAAGTCCTGACCCATTGTCCGGGCTTGCGAGTCCTTGAGACCTGGTCTTTCGTTGGAGGAGGTTCCTCCAGGGGGCTTGTTCCCCTTGTAGGTGTGCTCGTCGCTCTCGTCCACCGTGTGGGTGCTCTTCTCATTCGTGGTGTCCTTGCCACTTGCTCAGTCATGCCGTCCATCATGTCCCCCAGCCAGTGGTCAGGTACGGACCCATCTGCGTTCGGTCGCACGTTAGGGGGAGGTGCAGGGTCAGCGTCTGCGCGAAGTTCTGAATTGGCAGGTCTTTGATGTTTTGCAGGCTTTCCGTGGTTCGCCGTGTGGTAGCGTGCTGCCATCCCCTACTGCTGGGCCAGCTTCCAGGGCCCCTGCCAGGCAAGTTCGGGGGACAGCCGAACAAGCCACAAGGGCAGGGGTTCCCGGAAGGGCCAGGGTCAGAGCTCTTGGCGCATCTGCTTGGGGTCTCGTGAGCAGAGATGTTGCGATGTGTGGTCTCAAGCCTCCCCCCACTCAGGAGAACGTCCCCCCGCCAATAGGACAGAGAAGACCCTCTGTTCTCGGCGGGGCCGTCTCCGAGTACCCCCCTTTCACAAGAAAGACACAGCCGGCAGGTCGACTTGAGCCAAAATGGCTTGTTTCTCTTCTTCCACACAGACAAGAGCAGGCAATGGCTTGTTTCTTTCTTTCACCAGGTGTATGGGCAAGAGGGTAGCCCCCCTTGCCTGCGCGCCAGTCGGCGCCCCTGACCATTGCAGAGGGCGTTGTTTCTCTCTCTCTCTCTCTCTCTCGGTTTCTATTGTCCTATACTTCTCGTGGAAATCTGTTCTCAAAGCTTTTAATGCCAACCGATGTCAAACTCTCGGGTTCAGTGTACAGCAGGAAGTGTCAGAGGTTCCAGCTGGAAGTTGTCAGCGTGGACGTGTCTTCTCTTCGGGCCTTGCGGATCTAGACATGACAGAAGCTTTGACGACGACGATCAGATTTCGCACGTGGCGTTTGAGGCTACTGCGTCAGCTGGTGCAGATGCTGGCCGCCTTCGTGTCCGCAGCCATGGGACCGTACCTTTGCGAGCTCGAATGAGCAGGCACTGCAATCGCAGACAAGAATCAGAGCGCTTACGCGCAAATGTTGAACCTAGAACGGGGGTGCAAGTTGAATGTACATCATGTATACTGCGAGATGACTGTCGGATACTGTTGGGACAAACCTCGCTTCGGATGCTTCTTGGTCTGCTTGATGCCTGAGTCGCGACATCCAGAAAACCTTGGATGATTCCACCCGCGGCCCCTTGATCCTTCATGGTGCGATGTTCGCTGCCAACCTGTTGCGCTGCTTTGAACTCTTTTGTTTCGGGATGTTTCGGACACCGGACGAAATTGCATGCTGCCGAATATGGTCATGGAATGAGCCCTGTCAGTTCTGGCTGTAAGCAGTCAAGAGCTGTCAAAATCCTCTGTTCTTCAGCTGCAGGGTGCAGGACGTGATCGATCCCGCAGGCCCACAGACCCCGAGCGACACAGAGGACATGATGTGGACCTCGATGGTCATCGCCCACAATGAGGTTTACATGCAGCCCCACTTCGGGCTGCATGATATTGAAGCAAGTTCCGGTGCCGTGGCACGAAGGACTGCATATGACGGTGCGTGTGCCTTTCATTGAGATCACGGATGGCAATCAGTTTTTCGCGGACAAACGGGGACAAGCCCACACGCGTTGCCTGCAGGATCCTGTAGGGCATGGAATTCTTTGGCTCATTTCCAGGTGTTCCATTCCAAGCAACCTCCGATAAATGAGGGATACCACACTCGATGCACTACGTGCCTGCAACCTGGGACGATGCAAAGCTCGACAAGGTTGCTCTCAAGGATGAAAGGATTTCGCTTGCATCCCGGGACAAATTCTTGCGGAGGTGACCGTTCCCTCATGACCAAACGGCGTTACGTGCCACAAAGCATTGTCAGGGCAAGAGATGACGCGGCTTGAATGGAAACATTCGACGAGCGGACGCAGCGCGGAATGCGGGAAGTCACTTCGACAACCTGATTTCGTAGGGATGGGTGGGGCTTGCTTGTGAGCCAATGCCACTTCTGAATGCTAGCTGTATGTTGTTGTTCACTAGTCGGCATTCACTCCGAGCAGGAGACAAGGGAATTTCCATCTGTTAGGACATGCGCTGGTGACTCAGTAGTATATAGGGAAATGCAGGCACGTATGTGTACTTGCGTATGTAAGCTGGCAGTTCAAGTGAAAGTTCACGTCATCTGAGTAAGTTAAAGTTTCTCTTCATGAAGCTTGGGTTCAAGACGCATGTGACTGGACTTTTTGGTCGCTTCAAACTCTGTAAAATGTTGCGCACGGAAAGGAGAGCCTCGGGTTTAGTGCGAATGCATACAGTTTCTAGTCACATGAGAGTTGGGCGGCAGGGGTCCTTGCCTTTAAAGTGATTCTGTCGTCCATTGTGAAGGATTTTGNNCCCCCCCCCCCCCCCCCCCCAATATTGCAAGATCTGTCACTGCTGGTCACGGAGCATTCGCCAACTATCGTATCACATGCAAGAAGATCATGGCCTCTGGGCGCCCTGCCCATGGATACTGCTCCCTTCCCGGAAAGGGTTGACCGAGGGCAGTACCTTAGCTGTGACGCCGCTCCTTGTCGAGCTTGCTCTTGGCGGATGTGCACTGCTGGAAGCCCTGCTCTGGGTTGCCAGCTCCGGACCCGGCGATGCAGAGGTCACCAAGCGGGTAGTGCTCCGTGCTGAGTCCAATGCAATCAGAGTTCAACTTCGGCTTTCACATGCCGAGGCTTCTCTGCTCAAAGGCTCAGGAGCCGGCATAGCACACCTCCAGGCACGTGCCGGTCCTGGTGGCCATTTTTGCTCTGCACAGTTCCACTTTTGCTGAGAATCCTGGGCATCGTTAGGCCACTAGGCAGACTCTCTGCTGCTGTCACACTCGTGAAAGCCGTTCTTGACAAATCGTTTCCGCCAGTAAGGTCGTCCGAAAGCGAACCACCAACAGCAGCACACATGGGATATAAAAACAATGAACTATGCACTTGAGCAAACATGCACGACGAAATGCCGCATGCCACAGGAACATCGGGGCATCTTTGACTGGCGCAACTTCGAAAGAATGCCATGCTCCGTCCCCGCGGTCCGGTCGTTCAGTGTCGTAGGATATGCCGGGGCTCCTGGCAGTCTGCAACCGGTCTGTGACTGTGACATGTCCTAGTTCGGGACAAATTGGATGGAGTGCCGAAGTACTGAAGATCTGAAGAAAGACTGGGCGACTTGCTCGTCTGCAGCCTTGACGACCGTCTTGGCCTGACTCGGGAGCAAGCTTTGAGGGCCTCTGTGACACTGAAACTCGCAGGTCTCGGTGTCTCGGTATTTTTCTCTGCGCAGCGTGGACACCTCACCGGCGCCTGACTTGCGCTCAGAGTCTTGAGCTGTGCCACATCACTTGGTAGTCGAGACTGTGGCCTGGCGACAACTTCCAAGATGTGAAGGCCACAAGCCGGAAGCTGCTGGAACATGATTCGAAGCACTGCTCAGCTGTGCAAAACCGTCTCAACCAAGCCTATTTGGCTTGAGAAGCGGGATATCTCTTTCCTTTCGTGCAGCAGAAGGGAAATCGGTCCACAGGACAAGTTTTGCCACAGTGCCAGCACAGAGAGCAGCGTCCTCTATCTTCCAACGACCTGAAGATCAAAATTGATTCCAAGCAGCTTGCGAAGCTTGCGCTTCAGCGTGGACGGAATCAGGCGTGTCATTAGAAAACCTGCGAAGACGGTGTGCAGCGACGATGGGTACCGTTCAGAGGCCACAAGCGTGTGTCCAGCTTGTACATCACATGCTGCAGTCTTGCAAACAAGCAAGCCTTGCGCCCATGGTACTACTATCAGACTATCATGATCGTGATCTATGTCAAGTTTGCTCTATAGGTACATATAGATACTGTGAATGTTCGTGCGTAGCCTGTCCGCTCTGCATCGCGCCTATTGCTGTTGTTTGGGTCCTCACACCCACTCCATTGGCGGACTCCAGCTTCAACTCGATGTTTGCCTTTTTTGCACGCACTCTGCCCGTTTTACCCGTTGAAAGCACACGGTCAAATTCGGCTTGAGGTGCTTCCTGTCGGGAAGGTTTCCAGCGACATGGGGCATCAAACAATAGCAGCAAGGAGCCATGAGTTTTCCGCAGCTTTGGAGCAGTTTGTGCACGGCCACGAACACATCCAAGTACGTGTCATCCATCCTGACACAGCTGCCACCGTCTTTCGCCAGGAAACACAAGTCTAATGCTGCACGTCATAGCACGTATTGTCGACTATTTTAGTTGCCCTGCCGGATGTGCTGTGTTGTGCTATGTCGCGAGCAAATGCGGCCGCGATGTCCCTGCATGTTCCATCCACAGGCTGCGTCGTGCATGGCCTCTTCCAAAACGACTGATTTTTGTGATGCTGGCGCACACTGTGCTACTGACCACTCGCAAGTCGGTGTGGTCGCCTAGCCGGTGGCTAGATGAGGTCCTTGAGAAAGGCTCTGTAAGATTAATTTCCATGCTATCTACTTCCGACATTGTCTCTTAAGCCCATGGGATCGACGAATAGGAGGGCAACGACGGTAACGAATGCATTGACCACCACGCCTGAGGCTCCAGTCTGCTATGGGCAGGAAATCCATCAAATGGATCAACTGGTAGTTCAGCTGCACCCAGAAGGACTCCACGTCGAGGAAGAGTTTCCTCAGGCAATTGGATCAGGAGCCATCTTCGCACTGAAGTTCTGTTGCCGACGGCAGGGCTACAACTTGTAGCCTACAACGTCCACGAGTTGGAAAGGCAGTCTTGAGATGAGATTGAAGCTTCGCAAGCTTTTGGCGCCTGAACATGGCCGTTCATTTACGCGAGTGTCTTCGCTTTGCTGCAGGATACTTACGTCGTTCAGCCCAGTCAACTTGTTTTATGCAAACGTGAGCCCGGAACGTCTCTTGACATCTCATGATGCCTGCAGGCCTGTGCGAAATGCACAGCAAAGTCACATCCTCTAGAGCTCGCAGACTTGAGCTTTACATATGTCTAGACTCTGTCTAGACTGCGCAGGCAATCGTTGCCAGCTTTCGCCGGAAGCGCCTACGGCATGTATCTGACCTTCAAACAGCACCGTTGTGCTGATGCGGCTATCATGGGACATCTGCTGTGCCGACCATCCTGCCGAATCTCACCAGCTTCTGATTTGTTCAAACCTACAGCACAGTAGAGAGTACGCAAAGCTGCTCATGAAAGCACCCACGAACTTCTCATAATATAAGAAACTGGCGAGTCTTTCAAAAGTTGAGAAAAAGCTAGGTCCAGTACAACCGACCGCGTAGTAAGCACTTGGCCGGCTGCTTGGATCACTCCATTGACTTGACATGTGTCATGCAAGTTAACAGCCCGCGACACAAAATCCAAAAGCAATGAGCTGGACTTTCAAAGCACTGCTTCAGCTTCCGTCTCATGCATCTTGCTGACAGGATGGAAACTACAGCACGGGGCAGGGGGCAAATGGCAGCTCGCAAGGGACGGTGCGTCATGCTGCGATGCCAACATCACCGACCCCCCAATCTACAGGAATCTGGGCCGGTTGCATTAGCTCGCGTTCAAAAGATGACGTCGTGAAACGAGACTCTACGCTCTACGCTTGTCGTTCGCCACAGTAGTACCATTAGATGGCGCCCAGGAATGTTTGGCAATGCAAGCAGGTGGATGCGAAGCAACAAGCCTTGGAATGCTGCGTCGCAGCGCATCATAAAAACCCATGTCGTGGCAACTGGAGGAAGGTGACATGGCGCTGCGGCCACAAAAACATTAAAGGAAAGAGTCCAGATGTCACAGTATCTCCTGCGACATCGGTAGGACCGTGGAACTTGAGTGCACAGCTTTGCATGATACACTCCGCCCTGAGGCAGAAACCGCAGCGAGACACACACGCACACAGGAGCAAAATTCGTGCCTTCACTTGTCCCGGCAAGAAGAAAAACTGTTTCGTAGCAGTTTCCCTGTTGGCATGCATGTCGCAGAGGTTGCTGCCTCACAAGCAAACAGCACACGGGCAGCAGATTTTCACTGCGCAGCTTGTCTGTCGCCTTGAGTCGCAAGCAGAACAGAGGCAACACTCTGTTCATCTGCATTATTTCAAGAGACTGACCAGCAGCAAGCCGAGACACGTCCACATCGGGCACTCATTGCCGCTGCTGTGAGGACGGTCCATTGGAAGCTGAAGAGCAGCTGAACTCTGTTGGATGCTCTGCGGGACGGCTTCCATCTGAGTACTCAAGCAAGGTTCACGTAGCTATGATGCACTGCAAGCACCTCACACATTCGGTACCTACTTACAATTACAACCACTCCAGCCACTGCCCGAGCTGAGAGACTGAGAGAGTTTCGCAAGACTGAAGACCTTGCCTGAACAATGTTCTAGCCATTTCGCCGCTCTAACCGCTTCTAGTGTGAATGCAGCGGCGGAATTCCGTGCTGGCCGTTTGTTTGTGACATGGCCGCTGTGACGCTTCCCATCCTGGTGCCCACATCTGGCGACCAGGGAACAGGTCAGTCGTGGTTTCGATTTCTCCGACGGATTCGGTGAAGGAAAAAGCCTTGTTGGCATGCATTTCCCATGACCCTGTGCTAAGCTGTGCTAAGCTACATCAAGACTCAACGCCCCCACGCCCAGGCCAACCCGCCACCGGACTGTCTGCGCAGTTGTACAAAGTGTGATTTCAGTGGTGCGTTGCACCTGTCAGCACTCGCACCCCAAATGACACAACATCGGGAGAGCAATCTCGTGGCTGAAGTCTGCGCATTGCCGAAATCATAAATCCTCAACTTTCCAGTAGCAACAGCTGACGACATCGCACTGGCCACACAGATTGCCGCACGATATTCGACGGTCTACCGCGGTGCAGTTTCCAGCTTGGCAACAGTACACGCAAGCAACTCTGAAATCTTGATTTGACATCCGACCTTGGCATCCCAAGCTGCGCGCAGGAACTTGATCTTCTGTTCAAAGGAACCGGGATGACGCTCCACCGTGCAGAGAAAGTCCTTCACAAGGGTAGCACTAGTTCACTCGTTAAACAGTACAACTACCCAACACAAGCATAAACGCATATGTGATCACAATGAGAATGCAAATGAACAGCCCTGCTTCAGCTCTAGTGCCTTTCGGCTCCCAGCACACAGTGGCATCCTGCTCAAGGGGCCCCTGTTCGGGCCACGGGGCAGGGAAGGTCAACACGCCGTGCCGCAGGTCTCTCACAAGCATGCGCTGGCATGCCCCTAAAGCAAGTCCTCCAGGTCATCGAAATGAGCTTCTGCTGGTTTGGTAAGTCCGAGTCCCACCTCGCCCATGCCGAGCTTGAGAACATCGGGAACATTCAGTTTATGCGGCAGTTAAGTATCTCTGTCTATGCATAACCAAATGCATGCTAACCCCTACTTTTTTCTCTTTCAATACGTGTGTATGTGTATATGTATATATATATATGTACATACACATGTATGTATGTATGTATGCATGCATGCATGCATGCATGCATACATGCATATATACACATATACATATATATATATACATGTACATCTACGACTTCGATTACTTATCTGTGTGCTATCTACATGTAGATGCCACACGAGCCACACATACACACATACAAATCTGCATATATATATATATGTGGTCCCCCCCAAAAAAAATCTACCTCCAAACCTGTCTGTAGATATCTGTGCTACCACAGGTCAGTACACATGCACAAACACACACATACACGCACACAAACGAAAACACGGATTAGTGCCCAGTGTTCTCTCAGTATAATAATCCTGTATGTATACTGAAACCCCGCCCGGATCAGAGATGAGAGATGTCACGGAAATGTTTTCCAGAGCATCTCTGATCTCTGATCCGGGCTGGGTTTCAGTATCATCTCAGTATAATTCAGTATTTATACTGAAACCCGGCCCGGATCAGAGATCAGAGATCGGAGATGCCCTGGAAAACTTTTCCGTGGCATCTCTGATCCGGGCTGGGTTTCAGTATAGTTCAGTATTTATATTGAAACCCGGCCCGGATCAGAGATCA